AGTCTGTGCAATTGAGCGGGTTTGTGAGATTATAAAAGAAATGGCATTGCTGGATTAAAGTCATAGTCAGTATTTACTCAACCTCATGTCCTTCCAAACCTGTATGACTTATTTGAAATATGATCATGCTGCTTTTTTGAATAAAAATGACATGTACTGAGCAGAGACTTTCGGTCTCCAAAAAACACAAAGCGGAAGTAGTGAATCTGACAAAGTATTTTGAAGAGAAACGATTTATATGAGGAACAGGTCGTAACTATTTCATAAATATGTATTTAAAGTAATAATAATAATAAAAGACCTTCATCTAGGGTCAGAAAATAATCAGGGCTTGGGGGAAAAACTATAGATATATTTTTTTGCTATATATGTGAAAAAATATTTATAATGCAAAATATAATTTTGCACTTTGCAAGAAATCCCAATTTAAAAAAAAATCTAATTATGAAAAAAAATCCTGATACAGAAATTGTACAAAACAATTCCAAAAATATCCAATGATTGTTTTGTATAGTAAAAATGTTATTGAAGAAGTAAATAATTTTTCTTTATAATTTTGGTATGGTGTTGGGTTGCCACTTGAAAAATCATGTAAAAACTGTGCCCTAAAGCAAAAATCAATTGAGAACCACTGGCCTAAGTAAACAGTTTTTTTTGTTGTTGTTGTTGAACTCTTACACACAAGTTTGGGAATCTTATCTTCTCTTCTTATGTTCCTCTGAATCAGCCTCTGTGCTCCATCTGAAACACTTTCCAGGAGTCTGTATTAATCATCCGCTCGGGTTTATCGCTTCATGATAATGTGAGAAGGTGTTGTGGACACCTTGTTCTCCTGTCTGGCACATGGAGAGGTCATGTCTCTGATAATAACACGTCTACAGCGCTCATGAGAGGCTTTCCACTGAGGTGGTCTCCTTTTCCACCCCTGTGTCTCTCTCTCTCACACGCCCCTCGCTTTACCATGGGAACAGTCCAAAAATCACTTCCGCTCATCCTGAGCATAGCAGGCTTTTGTTTTGCTTAAATTAAATATTACAGGTCCAATAAAGTTTGCAACATGAGTATGCAGAACAAATAATGCACTAAATAACCTGCACACTAATATACCAACATACTGAACATCCCGATGCACCCTAGTCAGTGCAACACCCTACAATTCAATTCTCCCCACAACTGCCGAAACTACAGGAGTGATGCCACCCCACTATTTGCAAAATTATATTTTTGTATTTGACTAGGCAGAAGAATAATGTCCTTTGTTCTGATTGTGAAGAGGAAAAGATCCAATTTTACCTCCATTTCCACTTCAGGGTTATTCACAGAAATGAAATGTACTCGTACAACTTAATTAGGGGCTTTGAATAAAATCAAGAAGATTAAATTGAATTCATGTTCTTATCTAAATGAACTAAGACTGAGGAGCTCATACAGAGATTTTTGACCATTTAATTCAGCTCTATGTCTTGTTACTTGTGTGCTGAACACACACGAAGAAGTTTTGAAGAGTTGCCGGTAGCCATTGACTTCCATAGTATTTTTTCCCCTACAGTGGAAGTCAATGGCTACCGGCAACTATTTAAAATATAGATACTCAAAAGAAACTCATACAGGTTTGGAACAACTTGAGGGTGACTAAATATAACAGACTAGTAATTTTTGGGTGAACTATCTCTTTAATAAATACATGCATTACTATGACCCTCGACCCTTAAAGGAACGCTCCACTATTTTTTAAAATAGGCTCATTTTCCAACTCCCCTAGAGTTAAACAGCTGAGTTTTACCGTTTTCGAATCCATTCAGCCGATCTCCGGGTCTGGCGGTAGCACTTTTAGCTGTAGCTTAGCATAGATCATTGAATCTGATTAGACCGTTAGCATCTCGCTCCAAAATGACCAAAGATTTTCTATATTTTTCCTATTTAAAACTTGACCCTTCTGTAGTAACATTGTGTACTAAGACCGACGGAAAATGAAAAGTTGCGATTTTCTAGGCCGATATGGCTAGGAACTATACTGTCGCCTGCTGCACCCATGGTACGGCAGCAAAGTTCCTTGATTATTACGCCGGAATGAGAGTATAGTTCCTAGCCATATTTCGCAAAATCGCAACTTTTAATTTTCCGTCGGTCTTAGTACACGATGTTACTACAGAAGGGTCAAGTTTTAAATAGGAAAAAAATAGAAACTCTTTGGTCATTTTTGAGCGAGATGCTAACGGTCTAATCAGATTCAATGATCTATGCTAAGCTACAGCTAAAAGTGCTACCGCCAGACCCGGAGATCGGCTGAATGGATTCGAAAACGGTAAAACTCAACTGTTTAACTCTAGGGGAGTTGGAAAATGAACCTATTTTCAAAAATAGTGGAGTGTTCCTTTAATATATCATACTCAACGGTCTTTCTAATGCAATACAGGACTCATGTTGTACAAGTGTTTCTTACAGAAAACATGCATTGATCTATTTCAGTGTACATCTACTGCTTTGACTTGGTCATAGTCTTACAGCAACTAAACTGCGATCAAGCATTCATAGACTAAAAGACTAGGAACATAAGGAACATAAACCGGTCATCATATGCTGTTTGTGAAAGAACTAAAGTCTTTGACCCTGTACATCAGTGTGCTGAGAACCTCCCACAACGTTTTGAACTTCTTGTGCTGAAATCAGAGAGTTTGAAAAACAAATCTGAGCTTTCAATTTTGATAATTTCATTTGATTAATGTTTTTTTCTACTCCGCTCTGCTTCATCCAGTTTCAACAACTGGAATTCATCAGCTTCACTGGAGCAGGAGACTCACACGAGATCTCTCTCACTCTCGCTCTCTTTCTTATACAGTATAACAAATGCTGGATTTAATTTCCACACAACACTGTCTGACCACCACAACCTCAGCCAAAAGTCACAATAACAGCGAAGCTGAGGTTTTGTGGAAAACAGGCTCGATGGCAATACTGGTTTTCTGTCTATAAAACATTTATATATAATGCTGTGCAAAACTTTTTTTAAAGAAGAAAGACATTTAAAGAAATTAATATGCTTATTTATTAAGAATGTAACTGATCAAAAGTGAAAGTAAAGACATTTATAATGTTACAAAAAAAATTATATTTCAAATAAATGCTGTTCTTTTAAACTTTCTATTCAACAAAGAATCCTGAAAAATAAAATGTATCACGGTTTCCACAAAAATATGAAGCAGCACAACTGTTTTCAACATTGATAATAATCAGAAATGTTTCCTGAACAGCAAATCAGCATATTAGAATGATTTCTGAAGGATCATGTGACACTGAAGACTGGAGTAATGATGCTGAAAATGTATCTTTACATTGCAGGAATAAAATGCATTTTAAACTATTTAAATGTGGCCCTTAAAAGACATTACATCTTCTCTTTCCTTTATAACAGCTATTAAAATCATCATTCACATATAGATATTGATTATAATGTCTGAAAAAAATAGATCTGGTTACATGACTAAAATTCAGACTCAGAATTTGTACAATGTAAACTTTGTCCAAGCTCAGAACTGAAAATGCAATTTTTGTGTCCTGTCTCATATAAGAAAACAAGATCTGGGCCGCATTTAGCAGCACTGTGCATGTAGCCTATACGAAGTCTATAACTTCAAGGTCACTTACACCGCAACTTTAAACACGCCGCAAATTCTGAATGTTTCCTTTTTTCCTCTTCACGCTCTGGTTTACATTCACACATGCTCTGTGTTACCAGAGAAGGGGTTTCAATCACTCTCACCATGAAGATCAATGTCAACCTGAATATAAAACCAGAGGTGAGTTCTCAGATGTTACAGCTCACGCGCTGACCTCAGTTACGTCATTATTGCTCACCTACCCTTCAAACCTACACTCCCACCGTCTCGCTCTCTGGATGATATGCTGCATGACAAATGAAGAACATGGGCATCTGCAGATTCAGTAATTAGACTCTGTTGTAGTGTTTTGTCGCCCCCGGCATGAAGCTGTCAGAGCGAATGTTCATTTGCATTCAAAAACAACACAGGCAAGGGTTCGTTTGACAGGAGCTTCACTACGCCGACCTGATTGACCGCTTCACACTGGTCTTACACTTCTGAAACACAGACTTAGAACATCAGCTCAACCTTCAAAAGCAAAAGATATGGATTCTTACAAGGCAGAAGGAGACATACTACAGTGCCTTATGTAGGAATCACACACCAAACTAAAATATGGACTGAACTAATAGCTTCTCTGGTATTTTATTCAGATCGACACAATGATGCATGAATGGACAAATCCATTAAATATATACGCTAAATAAGCAACAAACTGTGGCTACATAGTATGTCTTATTTAAACACTGCATTTATGCTCTTACAAAAATATTACTGCAACACATATGCATGTTTTAGGGCTTTTTTAATGGTCAAAACAAAAATCATAAATTGTTGGACAAAAGTAACTGCCAACACAGATTTCATGCATTTAAAATGGATTCAGATTAGGATGAAAGAAAGTATGTGTACAAAATAAATACCGTGGTATTTTTTAAGCGCCCATGTATATACTGTGGTATCTCCATAGGAGTGCTAGGGAGTCAGTAAAAATGAATAACTAATAATTAATAAATAAAAGTAAACATAATAAAAATTATTAAAAACAAACAAATAAATAAATAAATAAACGTTAATAATGTAATAGAAAAAAAATTATATTTTTCAAATATTTATAACATTAATTTACATAAAATACAAATACAAACTGGGTCTTTATGCATACAAATACATAGCTGCTTTTTTCATTTTATGATGGTGTCCTTCATAAGAGGATGATCATATTTGGGCTCTGTGGCATTTAAAAGACTAAAAACCCCTGCCATAGTATGTATATATATATATATATATATATATATATATATATATATATATCAAAGTGCCATGGTATTACCTACTGTTACCATCATTGTTCTATGGTACCGTGTATGTGGTAAAGTGACAGATTAAAGAAGGACTTACTCATTTTTCTGCAAATCAAGTAGCAGTTGCTCTCCATCCACTTCTATTAGCACCTTCAGTGATCCAGGATGACCCTGAAACCAGACAAAAGAGAATGAAGAAATGCATTTCCTCCTAAACTGAAAACAAATATATATTAAAACATAAGACACAAAATTCACATTTTCTTAAATCACTTCCCAAAGTCGCCACATTAATCGATGGTGAAAAATTTAAAATAAAAAAGAAAGTGGGTTTAAAATTACGTTGTGCAAAATTAAATAATCATTGCAAATATTGATCATCCATCAAAATGGTCACACCAAGTGCATTGCATTGTGGGATACAGTATTCAAGTGTGTAGTGGAGCAGTATGGTAGTAACATGCTGTTACAAACACAGTGATATACTTTTTATGGGTCATTCCAACACAGAAACAAAATGAATGAGCAAGATTTAAAAAATTAGATGAAAGCATCTCATTAGACACCTAAATGCATTAGCATTTAATTTGCATCCACATATACTTTAGTGGATATAACTGGTTGATTGCCACTTGAAAAGATGACAGCTGACTGGTTGATTACATAATTACACACACCTGTGCCACTTCTGGACCCTCCATAAATACCACATTATGATGGCGAACCCATCTCAGCACACTTCAATCGTTCTGATGGCTTTTACTTGGTTTTGATTTACTGATAATAATTTGAAATGTTATGTTAGAGTTTATGGTTGGATGACATAAGTAAATAAAGTGCTGGTTTCTTCAAACAAGTCATCTATTAATTAATTATCCATATTATTAGTGGTTAGTACAAAAACACATATTCCCAATGAATTGAAGAATAAAGATGTGATCGTACATCTTTATTTCCATTAAATATTATGGTTCATTCAGAATGCATCACATTATGAAAGTAAAATGGGTTGCAATCGCTGTTTCTTGTTGGCTTAACTTATGTTAGTGGTTATATTCATGGAAGATGAAGTTCTAACCACTGCATTAAAGACAATGCAAGTCCTCAGACCAATAGACAGTAGTGATGCAAAGTCAGATTCATTTCCGCGAACCAGTTGTTTTCGGACAGATCGGCTCATTGAATCGGTTCAAAAAGCCGGTTCATCGGTTCCTGACGTCATCAAGCAATAACTACTCTCTATGCATTTCTTTTCTAACAACTCAGTACAATGTTGTGTCAATGAAAAATTCAAATAAGTCATTTGTGTCAACACATATTGAAACATTAAAAAAATTAAGTTATTTGTGTAAAAGCATGTTGATTATTACCATATAATGCAATAAAGTTAATGGTGTTTGTGGTCACAGTTTCATTCGCGGATCCTTTATGTCAGATACGACTAACCAATAGTGACTAGCCTACAACTTGGATAAGATTCCTAAAAGATTCGCACCTACAGCACACATTACAGACATTGATGCACAAACACGGATATGTTCTACATGTCTACAGTTTAAAGAATGAATAAAATAGTCTACTAAACTCCTTGATTTCGCTTAAGCAACTTTAAATATAATATGCATTCACAAACTGTTGTAAAATGTATTTACATCCCTCGACAGAAAGGTTTTTGCAGGTTTTAATAAAATGTAAATTAATAACAGTCATAATACGCATATTTCCAGTACGCGCCTCAGGCTTGCACAGTATCGTCAACTCACTCATCAGAATCTTCGGTAATCCTCGGCAAACTTCGCCACGGCTCATTCGGTTCTTGTTGAGTCCTCGGTAATCCTCGGCAAACTTCGACAGTTGGTTCAACCGGCTCAATCGGTTCTTTTTGAGTTGGACATGCTACTTTGGCTGTGCGTCATCAACCCGGAACTAAAGTTCGATTCAGTTCGATTTGTGAACCGGCTCGACCAGTTACTTCCTGAGAACCGGCTCAAAAGAACGATTCGTTCAAGAACCGAACATCACTATTAGACAGCAAGAGAAAGCATATTTCCAGTTCTGAGTGGACTTTTGTACAGGATAAAAGGAATACACCATTGTGTCGTAAGTCTGGAGCTGTGAGGATTAGTTTTATGTTTCAATTCTCTGACATTAATTCTCTTCACGCTCTGTAAGTCTGAAAATTCGGCAGATTTACTCCGAGGCTCTGAGGGAAATGGATTTAAACCAGTCAGGCGTTGACAAAATACAGCAGAAATAAGCATGAATCATCTGTCTAACATGAAGAGCACCATGCAACATTGCATATGCATGCTAATGCATGGCTACGACTGTGACGCATACACACTGAGGTAGATGGTGAGAGAAAGTTAAGTATTTAGCACAAATTTGACCTAGAATATGGGCTGACCTTCATCCTAGTGATGGAAAAAAGAAAAGCTGATTAAACAAAAGCCAAAGGAAAATACATGGTTTCCCATGGTAAAATCACTGTAACATATGTCAACTTGTGGCCTATTGCTTTATTGAATGCATGGGCGTAGCATTCACAGTGTTAAACCGCATGGGATACATTGAGAGTTTGTGGGAGTGCATTTATAAATCTCTGATGAAAAGACATTTAGGGGTTGACGCTCTTATGGATGTAACTTGGTTACAAAACCACAGCTAACAACTTTGACCTCCATAAATCCATAGTAAAGCAAACAAATGGAGCAAATTTAACACCCCTGTAAGGGTTCCTCAGAGAAGTTTCAAAGTTAAATCACGGCAAGAGTGTAAAACAAGAGTGTCAAAGCAAGAAGTATGAAAGAACTTTGTGAAGCTCCCAGGGGTCTTCAAACGTGATTGGCATTGACTTTCATTGGCTTTCAGGTATTCATTTGCCCTCTGCTGGTCAAAGAGTCACTGAACAAATCAGTCAACTAATCTTTTTGGTCATAATCTCCATCACTAGTTCATAAATCTACTGAAAAGGAACAAGAGAGACTTGCATTGCCGAATAATCACTGGTCTCCAATAATAACATTACCTCCCATCTCAATTCTATCAAAGACCACCTGGAGGATCCAAACAGCCATTGGTGCACTGGAGCAAAAGGAGCCGAAACAAAAGTTTAAATTGTCAGTATCAATAATAAATGTCCCACAAAAACGAAACACACCATTCCAGCTGAACAGCTTCATCCCAGGCTTGACATGTGGGGTTGGGAGTATTCAGGGATGTTCTTGCGCTGCTCCAGGAAACTTTGCAGGAGAATGTCATTGTGTCAGGCAGTGCGCCTGTGCCAACTGGGTCATGAAGAAGAACAGTGATCTGAAAAACACGTGTAAAGAGCCGTGGCATGGCAGGCAAAGCATGTGCTCGGTTTTTGATGATGTGAGTCCAGACTGCATTATGTCCTCCTAATACATTTCCTTCACTATATTCCCAGAGTTACACCCTCCGTTGACTGTCCTATATATTAAAGGTAAAAGACCATAAATAAAATGCATGCAAATCTACAAGGGTTGAAAATAAGAACTTGTGCAATCTGAAATGACCAAGTTAAATAGAATAATTCACCTAATAATGACAGTAGTTTTTTCCAAGTAAAAGGCCTTTTAGTGTAATTCTACAAACGTCCACTTACAGGTCGTGGTTGTTTTTGCTGTGAAATCTTTACTTACTTTTATCATGTAAACATAACTTTTATTTTGTCAGTAATATTTCAAGGTGAACACTTACTGGACTTAAGTAATGCAGGTTTACATTATTATCCATACATCCTTTTTTAGAAAAATCATGTTGAAATATGATCAAATATGATCATCAGGCTTTTGAGGAACAATTTTTTTTCTCTCAATAATCATTGTAATGCATTGCATTAAATATTTTGCCCCCAAAGAAAATTAAATAAATAAATACATACATACATATATGCATATAAATTAAAAGTGATTCATAGAACCAAATGCACAACACACATGATTTTCACATGAATTATGATGAAAATTGCTGTCTGTTCCTAATAATATAGCGCATGAAATACTTCTATGGCTATTTGTGACATTTCTATGGTGTTTTTGTCCTTTTTAGTCCTTGACAGAAGTGTTCACAATAGACTGTGATTGTATGGGAAAAAAATGTGTACATGAAGTAATGTGTATATTTTTAGGATATGTGCTCCTTTAAAGAAAAATGAACCTACCCACTTGAAATGTTACATGGTTTGAAAAGAATTCATAAATCAGAGTAAAAGCTGGAAGCTGATGTGCATGACTTTATCAACAGGTTTGGTTAAAGTAAAGGTTTAAATGCTTTTTTCAAGTAGTGATATTTCACAGGCATTACTTTAGACAAGCTACATCTCACAGGAACTTGTCACAATCCACAATTTAACAAACTCTAACTAGTTCAATGGCCTTTCCCCCTACATTTCAATGCTAAATCTCCACACACAGATCCCTGGGTGGTCCGATTGACTCTTTATGACTGTTGCTCATGGCAATACACATGTAAAATCTGTCTGTAAAACCTTTTTACAAACTCCAGTAAGAAAACAACATACTCTGAGTAAATAAATTAAACAAATGGGCTTCAAAACAACCCTGCATGTCTTCATTCCACAAATTGGTTGAGAAATCTTTTTAATTAAGGACAAAAGCAACACATCCCCTCCGGGAACAATATTCCCTCACAGACAGGTCTGTTCGCCGCTTCCCAAAACATATTAAGAAGTTCAAAGTCACTCCTTCTTCAACCAGCATGTAATCAGAATCGGTACTGAGAACACAAATTAGAAATTTAAAGTCAACTAGGAAATGCATATGCAACACTTTTAACTTTCAAAGGCAAAGTACACACTGTACAGTTTCAGGAGTGCCAACCGTATTTAAATACTTGAGTGAATGCCCTAAATTACAGTTTTGTGTGTGCACAGAACAGAACTCACTCTTGAAACTGCAAATATTGACACCATGGTAACCATAGCAATGGTCGTCTTGCACATTTGGTATCCGCAATTTGTGTTGTGTAATAAGTAATATTACAGCGACAAAACCCTTGTTATGTTCGGCAATTTTAACTAAACCACCGTTGACAGAGCTGTTGTGTTTTGTTTGTTTGGAAGTCAGCTTCACAGAGCCAGGGTTGGCAGGTCTGCATACAAAAGCAGCCCAATGACCATATCCAAAATATCAAAACTCAAAATATGCAAGTCCCATACCTAAAGTACATGGTTGCTACATGCAACTTTTACTTTTAAAAGTAGCCCAATTCCGCCAGAAAACAGCGGACTTGGCAACCCTGTGCAGTGTGCGCTCTTGAAACATGTCCACTTATTATAATTGAGGCTTATTAAGCGTCTTTGGCTTTGATGTTTGGGCTCGGCTCATGAAATGATACAGATTATGGAGTTAATAAAGTAGACAGATGCAGGTCACTATATTTTATTATGTGTCTTACTTCCAAGATAACACATTTGGATTTGAGCTTATTATGGGCTTGTTTTTATCGTTTTTTTGTTTTGTTTTTCCTAGCAAGATCTGGCAATACAAATGAGTCAAAATATACCCCTGTGATCAGATGCAGGTCACTATATTTTATTATGTGTCTTACTTCCAAGATAACACATTTGGATTTGAGCTTATTATGGGCTTGTTTTTATCGTTTTTTGTTTTGTTTTTCCTAGCAAGATCTGGCAATACAAATGAGTCAAAATATACCCCTGTGATTTTTTTTTGCACCGCACGAATCGAAAAGACACAACTCTTTAAATACGGCATTAACAACTAATTGTCAATGGTTGTAGAATGCCGTTTTCTCTCCAGTAAATTGCTGAACTGTGTGTGTGTACACAACAGGACTAAGCACTAAAAGGTGAATTGACAACCGAATTTAGCTGCAGCGTGTATGTGGCCATGTTTCTGAGTGAAAAAAACTGAGAGCTTGATTTTACCAGTGACTTACCATTGACTTTATGAGACTAACTGGTCTCTGCTGTCCTCCGATGAGCAGGTGTGGTTCGATTATGTCATAATGCTCCAGCGTGTCGTGTTGATTCGGATAGGCAGCTGAAAGAAGGAAAAACAAGTAGCCTATGTGAAATCTCCACAATAACGCAAACCACTGATCTTTGGTGTAGATATTTCATTGACTGACGACATCACTAAAACACTGACTAAGCCTGCTGTGCATTACGTTTTTAAAATCACTCGCAGATAGTCTTTCTTCAATCCATGCTATTTATAAATCTCTTTGGCGTTTGCATTCGCAGCCTGCTGAGGTGACGGCATGAACACAACATTGCTAATCGATGCTTTCAAACATCAGGTTTGCCCTGACAACAATCTCCCTGGAAACTGCATATATTTCAGGTCTGATTCGATTTAGATCAGACCTCTAGAACGACCTAATGAAGCTCTTTCTTGTGGCCTCGTCTGTCCCTATATGCTATAAAAGTGATATCATATGTACATATCATACATTCATATCTGTACAGTGCAGCGTATCTCAAGCAGATTCAGCAAAATTTCTGAGAAACCACAAGAATTTAAATTAAAATAGTTATGTTATTTTATATTAAAATTAAACTGCAAAATATAAATGAATTAAATATATGCATGTAAACTGACATCACATTTCTCATTCAAAAGAAAATGCTTCACTGATCTCTTAATTTCTCTCACACAATAGAGGTCTTTTTAAAATAGGTTTTGTTACTGCAAAACTGCATTATGAACTATAATAATACTGTATTTTTTTTCCATTCAGCATTCATTTACAATTTCTTTCCCATGTCAAAATGACATACAGTAAGTATATATATATATATATATATATATATATATATTTTCGACCAAAAACTTTTTAACAGTATTTATATATACATACCTACCTAGTCAGTATTGTCAATTTTGGGCCAAAATGTCAGTTGAAAAGATTAAATGTGATTCATGTGCAGCGTGAAAGCTGTCTGTGTGTGAGTCTGAAACTAAAACTAAATTAGATTGAAAATGAAGGATGCCAGTCGGCTGTGTTTGTTTGAGTTTCAGAGAGTCAGTAAATGTGCTGACCAAGAGATTTCACAATGTTATCTGTCCACAGTCTCTGTTTCTTTTCACAGTGTGTTCAGTGAGAGGGAAACCCTAGTATCAGACATAATGCAGACATAAAGTTGAGCTGACTAATCTACAGCCTCAGACTGAGAGGAAGACCTGCGAAGGGAGACATGAGGACAGAACAGAGGGAGTTTGATGTCTATGAGATGAGACTGTGGGTCAGACAGGTTAAAAATCTGTGTAAACCTAGTGAACTACATGAGCATTAAAATCTGCCTTCAGATCTGGCCAGTCTGGTACATATAATTGGTGGTTACCTTTGGAAATAGTTGTCATGTTGGATGTGTGCCTTTTAAATGTTTATTTAAAATGCAAATTAACAAAGTTCCTCAGTGGCAATAGTTGATTGCAACTGTAATCGCTTAATTTCACACTTGCATGCATTATGAACCAAACAGGAAGACGTGTATGTATTGCAAAGAGGATGTTTCAGTTGTTTATAAAGCTTTAATGAAGACGAATCACGTGAGGCAGTTGCATGCAGATGCTAGTGAACTCTTTTGTTTGGACTAGCGTGGTTTTCTGCACGTTCAGTGAGTTTGTATTGTAAACTGCCCTCTTAATATCTCGCTGTCACTGCATAATGAAGTGTTTTATGCATGATTAACGAAATGCGCTGCTGCTGTCATTCTTGATAAATGCTTGATGTGTATGTCTGTGTTGTTTTCATCAGTAAGTTCAGTGAGTGTAAATGTGTTTATATTGTTGATGTCTCTGTGGTAAACTGTCTGGGAGGAAACCATTTGCTTATGCTTGGTCAAAAACCCAGAGGCTCTGGTCCAAAATACTGTAGTGAGCTGCTGTGCTGGCATAGCAAAAATAACCATGGCAATTATAAATAAATAAAATAAGATGTATTTTAGAAATTATAAAATTATATATGTACATATGTTTATTAATTAGTAATTAAACATTTAATTTTTATTTTATTATTATTTATATTATTATTTATAATTTCCAGTGTGCAATATATATATATATATTTTTTTTTTTTTGTGAGCGACTGTGCAGGCATAGGAAACAAACCATGAAAATATAAATAAATAACAAAATAAACATACATAAAATAAAAGCTTTTTATGAAATGTATAAAACTATATATGTATATATTTTTTATTTATTAATTAAACATTTTATTCTATTATTATTTATAATTTCCAGTGAGCTACATTTTTATTTTTAGTGAGGCACTGTCCTGCATATATATGTCCAGAGTATATATATATATATATATATATATATATATATATATACACTGGACATATATATGCAGGACAGTGCCTCACTAAAAATAAAAATGTAGCTCACTGGAAATTATAAATAATAATAGAATAAAATGTTTAATTAATAAATAAAAAATATATACATATATAGTTTTATACATTTCATAAAAAGCTTTTATTTTATGTATGTTTATTTTGTTATTTATTTATATTTTCATGGTTTGTTTCCTATGCCTGCACAGTCGCTCACAAAAAAAAAAAAATATATATATATATATTGCACACTGGAAATTATAAATAATAATATAAATAATAATAAAATAAAAATTAAATGTTTAATTACTAATTAATAAACATATGTACATATATAATTTTATAATTTCTAAAATACATCTTATTTTATTTATTTATAATTGCCATGGTTATTTTTGCTATGCCAGCACAGCAGCTCACTACAGTATTTTGGACCAGAGCCTCTGGGTTTTTGACCAAGCATAAGCAAATGGTTTCCTCCCAGACAGTTTACCACAGAGACATCAACAATATAAACACATTTACACTCACTGAACTCACTGATTACAACACCACACACACACACACACACACACACACACACACACATACATACACACATCAAGCATTTATCAAGAATGGCACCAGCAGTGCATTTCGTTAATCATGTATAAAAACACTTCAATATGCAGTGATAGCAAAATATTAAGAGTGCAGTTTACAATACAAACTCACTGAACGTGCAGAAAGCCACGCTAGCCCAAACAAAAGAGTTCACTAGCATCTACATGCAACCGCCTCACGTGATTCGTCTTCATTAAAGCTTAACTGAAACATCCTCTTTGCAATGCATACACGTCTTCCTGTTTGGTTTATAATGCATGCAAGTGAGAAATTAAACAATTACAGTTGCAATCAACTATTGCAACTGAGGAAATGTGTTAATTTGCATTTTAAATAAACATGTTAAGGCACACATCCAACATGACAGCTGTTTGTAAAGGTAACCACCAATTATATGCACCAGACTGGCCAGATTTGAAGGCAGATTTTAATGTAGATATGTAGATAGTTCACTAGGTTTTGGATGTCTTTCACATTTTTAACCTGTCTGACCCACAATCTTATTTCATAGACCTCAAATTCCCTCTGTTCTGTGCTCATGTCTCCCTTTGTCTCTCTCCTCGAGTGTGTGTGTGTGTGTGTGTGTGTGTGAGTGTGAGTGTGTGTTTGTGTGTATTTTACGGTGAGCAGGTCTTCCTTTCAGACTGAGGCTGTAGATTAGTCAACTCAACTTTATGCCTGCTTTATATCTAATACTAGGGTTTCCCTCTCGCTGAACACACTGTGAAAAGAAACAGAGACTGTGGACAGATAACATTAGAGGTCGACTGATTAATCGGCACTAGACGATTGCAGGAACTATCGGCAAAAATCCATACCGATAGTTTTTCCGGGTTGCATCCTTTGCTGGATTGGCTGTGAACGTCTGCTGTCATTACGCCTGTTCAACACCTCAAGCTCGAGCTTCGCATCAGCTTCACGTCAGCGTAACTACTTTGTCACCGCAGATGCAGACTCGCCAGAGTATTCACACATCACAGCAGCGGCTCCAAAGCTACATATTTCTTTACAAAGACAACTATAAATTTGTTTTTAGAAGTTATAACCTTGAAAGTTCTAAAGTCTTGAAAGCTTGTTAACACGGGGATTCGCATGTAAATGGTAAACAACAAAAACAAGTCAGATCATGTCATTTCAGTCATTCATCGATATAGAACTTGCTGTTTATAATGTTCTTTTTTTTAAATACGCCATACTTGTACCCAAACTGAATAATTAAAAACAAGTTTAAATGGGTAAATCTTCTCTACATATTTTTGAATCTTCATTTTATTTTCTGACATACTCCAATTCATGTTAGAAACACACTGGACATGCTTATTTTGTGCACGTTTAGCACTTTAGCGCTCACTCACAAAAAAGTTACTAAAAATAACACTAAAATATTTTATTGATATTATTTGATATTATTAAATATTATTTATATGATTATGATTTATACGATTTGTTATATTATTTATAAAAATACATTATACTTTTATTTATAATATACATCATTTTCAGGGCTATTTTTTTTATAAATAAATAAACAATAAATTAAGAAAAAATATATACTGAACATAAATATATATATATATATATATTGATAAATCCATGTTATATAATATTTAAATTATTATTTTGTTTATATATATATATATATATATATATATGAAACATGAATTATGGTTTATATTTATTTGTGTGTACATGTATGTAAGGTTCAACAATTATTAGAGTCACTAGAGTTCCTGCTCTTCCACGTTTGTATTCATATGAATTTAAGTCAAAGAAACACAAAGTTTAGTGACTTCAGCTTTAACCGCTACACCAAACCACCCCAGTACACGGCTTAGGCTGTATATCTAACGGCTGATGAAGAATTAGCCATAATTTCCATGGCAATAAAACTGATCCTAAATAATCAAGCCCAGAGCCTGACAGATCTGAATCCAACACCAACGGCTCCTGAAAGCGGCCTAATGTCGGCAGAACGGCGGTTTTGAGGTTAGTTTGGGTGACGGAGCGGCCAGGTCTGCGCTGACATCACCGTTTTACAACCGCGGCCGATGCACACATGGAATCGCCATCACGTTTGTAGCTGTTTCATTTCGG